ATCTATGATGTACATATTATAGTTACATAAGTTTTTTATCCATTCACGCACTAATGGGCTCTTGGATTGAGTCTTTGTCTTGGCTATTGTAAATAATACTGCAAAATGCTGCAGTGAGTACGGGAGGGTAGATATCTCTTTGAAGGGCTGATTTCATTTTGGGGGAATATAAACCCAGTTCAGGAATTGCTGGGTCATATGGTTGTTTTATAAAAAAAAAAAAGTATTTTGAGGCACTTCTCTACCATTTTTTCATACCAGCTGTACCAATTTACACTCCCATCAACAGTGTGCAGGGGTTGCCTTTTCTCCACTTTATAACCAACACATCTCTTATCAAGAACAGCAGGTATGGCAGGTGTGAGGTGGAATCACTGAGGATTTAACTTGTTTGTTGATTACTGATGTTGAATACACCTGTTGGCCATCTTAGTGTCTTCTTTGGAGAAGTGTCTACACAGTTTCTTTGCCCACTTGTTAATTGGAATATTTGTTTTTTGGTAGTAAGTCTGTGAGTCACTTACATAGTCCAGCATCACTCTGTTTTCAGATGTGTGGTTTGTGAGGGTTTTCTCCGAATCCGCAGTCTGCCTTTTCATTCTGATGATGTTGCCTCTGCTGGTAGCTTTTCCCACTTGTGTATTGTTCCCTCTGTTGCCTGAGCTTTCAGAGTGATAGCCAGTCTTGCTCTTCCTGCTTATAAGAGTGCCTGATGATCTCTAGATAACACAGGAGGCTATGACAACAAAGAGCTAAGAACTTTACCTCAATTTTATGTGGTTTGGATCTGTGTCCTTTTGGGTTAGAAACCTTTGTTTTTCTTTCCTGAGGGCCACCTAGAAATATTCATTTAATGTCACAAAAGAGTACCTGACAGTGGCTTGCTTTTATTTATCAGTTTGAATTTAAAAGTATATATTTACAGGTTATAAAGCCATTAATTTTGGAGGGGCTAGATAGTAAAATAAAGCCTGTTTAGATCTAAAGTTTCATACCTTAGCCACTATTTTGGAAAGTAGAATAGACCAAGTTTGATTCTAGTCGCAGAAGGACATTTTACCTGTGAATTTACTTTTAATTTGGGAAGGCTTGAGGGTAATTCAGATTTGCAACATTTGTTTGATATCATTAAAATAACTTCTTTCCAGACTCTTTGAGATTTGAGAAGACTAAGTAACTGGTCCAAGGAGGTTACAGCTCCTGGCCAGGAAGGGCCTATACGTTCTGAGTCAGTTGCTTAGAAACAGAGTTGTCTGTGCAGGCTTCCTGGACACTTGAGCTTGATGTGGGGCCCATGGCCACAGACCTCCCCTCATTGCAGCATGGCCTGTGAGTAAATCTTTACACCAGTGTCATCTTTCAAGAAAGGCCTTCTCACGCCTCCTCTGGAAAACTGCAATCCTTCCCCCAACTGTGACTCTTCTGATTTCTCTTTAATGCTTTATTTTTTCCTCTTTAGCTCTTTTCTCACTGGTATTGTGTGCGTGTTTTCCATGGACAGCATCTGTCTTCCTCACTAGATTACAAGTTCCATGTGGGCAGGCATTTGGGGTTTTGTTCACAGTTGAATCTCTGGTGTGAATTTCTTAAGTGCTGGAGAGTGGGAACCTTTCTGCTCTTCAAGAGCCTCGCCCACTTGAGGGGACCCTTCCTTGTTTTTTCTAGCTACTAACCTCCGTGTGTCTTTCTGTAGAGCTCTGCCCTCAACAAAAATTAACCTCATTTTGACCTAACATTAAAGTTCATATCTCTTCCTTCTGAACTTACTACTTTAGAGATAAGTATTTTCATAAAGTAAAATTTTGCACATACATCCTGAAATTCAACTACACTCATTCAATTAGGGAAGCTTTTCCTGAGCAGAAAATGGGTAAAATACAGGATTTTAGTCAACTGCCAGTTCAGTGATTCTAAGTTGAGGCTCCCCAAACACCATCTAACCCAACTGACCAACCCATCCAATTTAGGTTTTAGGAGTTACAACATCCTGTAACAGTGAATCAAATATATCCTCCATGCTGACTCAGTCCAGTCACAGATGGAGTTTGTCATCAGTCCTGGTTGTAATGTTCAAGAGTAGTCTAAAGTATGTTAGAAGAGAGGGAACTGTTTGAAAGAGTTTAGAATATTTATCCAAGGAAAGAGGAAAAACCAGGGACATAGAGATGTCTTCAAATATCTGAAATTCTAATGCATTAGTGAGAAATTGTTTCTTCTGTGTGGTCTTAATGAAAGTTTACATGACAAATGAATTTTTTTCTTTAACATCTGATTCTAATGTTATTTATGACAGTAGAATGCATTACAATTCATATTACACATATAGGGCACAATTTTTCATATCTCTGGTTGTATACAAAGTATAGTCACACCATTCGTGTCTTCATACGTGTGCTTAGGGTAACGATGTCCATCTCATTCCACCATCTTTTTTACCCTCATGCCCCGTCTCTTCCCCTCCCACCCCTTTGCCCTCTCTAGAGTTTGTCTATTCCTCCCATGCTCCCCGACCCCATTATGATTCAGCCCCGACAAGGAAATCTATTTTAGCTCAATAAAAGGGAGACCTTTTTTCATTTTATGGAGGTAAGCCTGGATGGTGTGGTCCTTAAGGGTGCAGGTGGAGGTTAGCACTGGTGACATGATGTATAAGTGGCTCATGACTGCATACAATGATTGCCACAGTTGTCACAAGAAACCTTCCCCGTGGCTGCATTGCTCCTGAGGGACATTCTGCACCCCTCCTTGCTCTACCCATCCTCTCTTTGTGGTGTTTGTTGCTCACTGTGTTCTTTGCTTAGTATCTAGGATTTTCTTTATGCTTAAAATATTTTGTTAGTAAGTATTCCAATTTTATTTGATTTTCACACTTCCATCAGTTGCAGGAAGTTTGTAAACATTGACTTTGCATAGATGAGTTTGTATTGTTCACCTTCTTTATGTCCCTTCATTCTGGTCTGTGTCAGATCCTTCTATCACCTTGGACACATCCACAAGGCAGATGGATGGAAGCAGTAGATATAGAACACACAGTCAAGTTTAATGCTGGGAAAGCAATATCCCAATATATTGAATGAAGACTTGGGTGATGGAATATTATAAGAAGAAGGGCATTCCTCCACACCCTGCCATTCTCACAAGGAACACAGCAGGGGCTCTCTGCAGGGGGCAAGCCCAAATGAAGACACACTTCAGAATACACATTCAGTTCTCCATGTTTTTGTTCTCTTCTCCATCTCTCCTGTGCCTGTCTCTTGCCTGCCAGCACCCAAGACAGGATATCTGTGAGTACTCATTATTCGTAGACCCACAGAACCATTTCCACCATCTACTTAGGACGGTGAACAGCTGTTAAATACCTGGGATTTAAAAAATTCTTTTGTTCTGAATCCCATTTTTAAATACCAAGTCCTTTTTCTATTGTCTACTTAGGATAACCTGCCTGATTCTCTTCATATCCTGGTACGTTCAACAAAAATTTGTTCAATGAATAAACTCCAATAGCTATCTTCTTTCTTAGTTCGGGTTACCATTATCTTTGGTTTGACTCCTATAGCCCTTTTGTCTTTCTGGCTCCTTTCATGACTCTTTTTATTCATGTCTCCACACTGTCATCCAGAAGCTTCTTTATTATATGCTAATCTGATCATTTCATTTCCATGCTTAAAACTTCCCTGGGGCTCTCAGGATAAAACCCAAACTCCTTACCATGACAGTCAAGGCCCTTCATGATCTGATGCCAACCTCCCTTCTCCTTTAGCCCTCCCTGCCCTTCACTGTCCTGCCACAGCTCTACAGGCTCTTCAACTTTCCATCTTCCAGCCTGACCAGAAAACCCACCCTTGATCCTATCGCTTTGTCCAGGGTCTTCTGATACCACAGGTTAGGGGGGTGATCCTTCTAGTGTTTCCATGACAGTCTGTCCGGGCCCCTTTAATCATGCTTAACAGGTTGCACTGAGGTTGTCACCTGACTCATTAAATGACTGTGGTCTCCTTGAGGCAGAGAGCAAGCCTGCTCATTTCTGTCTGGTGTCTAGCCAACAACAGGATCTCACCAAAGATTCCAGCAACTTCCCCTAAGATACTGCACAAATCTGCAGAGCCAGCAGCAGGAAAAGAGTCAGGTGAACATATCCTGTTTCTTGTTCTGCCTTGAACATAAAACCATGGCTTTAAAGAAGGTATAGGATGGATTACTAGTCCTCCAAGCTTGGATATAGAATAATTGAGTTAAAGCTCTTCATTTTAACTTTGCTTTTCGAGTACACTATTACTTTGTATAGTCTCTTGGTCAAGATGTAACTTCTACTTATAAAAATATTCCTATAAAATTTATACGTTTTCACTGTAGGGTGGTTAAAATGCAGACACTGGCATTGTAGAGCTTATGCAGCTTTACCATGGGATGCAGGGAGGTACTCTGGGTCTGAAAGTTCTAAATTCAAGTGCTGTGTCAGCCACTTACTGGATTGCAATTTGGGAGAAGTTCCCCAGATGGCTGTGAGTGTTCACGTGTGACGAGTGCCTCATGTTGCCCTGGCACCATGGGCACTGAGGCGTTAGCTCCCTTCCTCTCACTTGGGCTTTCAGAAGATCTGGGGAGTACAGAGATTAAGAAATAACTTTTCCTTTCACTCTAGAAATAAAAGGGAGGCATGGTAGTTTCTTAATTAAGCTTTACTTGATGAAGCAGCTACCTTTTTTTAAAAAAATGTTTTTCATTGTAGATGGACAGTTTTTTTTTTTGTATTTATTTTTATGTGGTGCTGAGGATCGAACCCAGGGCCTGACACGTGCTAGGCAAGTGCTCTACCACTGAGCCCCAGCCCCAGCCCAGCAGCTACCTTTTGAGCAACAGGATTCTTCAGTTATAACAACATCATATGTGGAAAAACATAACTGGTGTCATTGATGTGGACAGAACAATTCTGCCATCATTTAAAGGAAATAAAATTACATTTAAAAATGTTAAACACATAAGAAACAAACCAACAATAGTTCTGCCCCAATGAATCCTGAAAATTTATTATTTGGGGGAATATCACTTATTGATCCTTTGCTTTACAGCTCATGATAATAATCAGAAAATATACATTTTGAAATGAGGTCAAAAGAAAATAGTTACATATAATACATATTATAGACTTTTTATTTGAACATAAGCAAAGCATTACTAAAAGCATATTTATAGTCCACAACTAGTGAACGTGGTAATTTTCTGTTTAAAGCTGCAGCAACTCAAATCCTTCTAGGGTCAGTGAAGAAAGACATTGAGAAATACATTTAGGGCCATCACCGTGTCTGGTTGTGAACCCATATTTTTAATCTTTCCCCTCCCCCCATATATAAGTATATATTTTATTGCCTTTATATTCTGCTGGTTTAATATAATTAGTATACTAAATAGTTATCTGCATTTATTTGATTTCTAAAAATATATAAAATGCATTGGAAAGAGCTCCTGCAGCTTTCTAGCAGTCACTGTCCAGGCATCGAAAGCTTGGTTGGCAAACATAAAGCAGCAATACTGAATAAATAGTGATTGTTGTGTTGTTTGATACAGCTGGTGGCCTTCACCCAAACTTAAAAATACTGTAGCAAACAGTAGAAACATGCAACTTAAAAAACTGACATAATACAAAAGTAATACTAATGAGCTAAATTTTAATACAATACAGACTATAAAGACAACTTGATGTAGAAGAGAGATTCAAACACAGTGCAATTATATACATATAAATTAAGGCCCAATTTTTCAAAGGCAATGTACAACTGCCCAACTGCTCACAGCCTTTGCATGCCTAAAATCGAGTTTTTGCTTTTTCCACATTATTTCTTCAATCCAATACAGTTCCAACTTGGAAAAGTGTTCACATAAGTGTCTTTCAATGAAGAATTCTTTTTCTCGAAAGGCTGTTTTGTTCTTATTCACAAAGAAAGCTGTCTTTTAGTACAGGGATACATTTTATTTTTACTGTGGAAGCAAGTGCTTATCTGTTCTTATACATGGCCATACTTCACATTTCACACCACATATTCTATTTTTTTATTGTATTATTCAGTTTTATCTTAACTTGATCAGTCTAGTTTTCTACTAATTGCAAATATAGGAACTGACAATTTACTCATTGGTGACTGGGAATTAAGTGGGCAATTTCTACTAAAACCAATTGAAGTCTCATAAAAAATTCCCTGTGCATTAAGACAAAAACCAAATATAAACAAATCAAATTATAAAGAAAATGAAAAAAACTGAGGTGACCCACTATGTACCATTCTCTGAGAATAATGATATTCTAAAGGTCAAATAGACTAATGCTATTTCAAATGATTTCTTGGTAAGAAAAAAACCATTTTAATATCTTTAATAGTTGTAGAAAATCACAATAAAACACTTTACAGTATGATTCAAAAAACACATAAATTTGTATTCTAATTTATTATTTAGAACCTAAATTATCCCTTAGATGCAAAATTTTATGTTTGGTATTTCTTTATACCATTAACTTCTCCCCCCTCCAAAAGTATCCAAAGATGTGGCACTTAATCTAATTCATTTGTATTCACAATAGGTAAAAATGATCACAAATAGACTAAAATATTTAAAGATGTTTCTACAGAAATGAGTTTTCCTCTGTTTTAAAAAAAAGATTTAAAAATATTCTTCAGTTATGTGCTTCCAGTAGTATGACTGATTAAAAAGTACTGCTGCTCAAATGTGTTCATTAATTCAAATTTACATACTCTTCCCATCTAGGAAACAGTATTTTCATGTGTAACTAGGTCCATTATTTGGCAGCTTGAAAATCCTGAAGAAGTCAGAGGTTAACTGGGGATACTATGCTGGAGAACCCAGGACTACTACAAGTTGGTTGGAGGCTATCTATCTTTCTTTAAAGTTATTAGGCAATTCTGTTAATAATTTACAATTACTAAATTAGATACCGACTTTGTATTCTTTGTGGTATACCAAGGCATCTTTGTAATTTCTAATTGCAAAGTGTAATCCACCTACAGTTTAACATTTTGATTTAAATAGAATACAATTTATAAAATGTTTTTCTTTGTGAATAAGGTCTCAATTTCTCTGAACAACAAAATGACTCAGTAGAGGATAGGAATCTTTAAAAGTAAGGCATATATTGGGCATACCTAAATCATTATTGTCAAAAAAGCTACAAATTATTTAGACATTTAATTCTGATTTTTAAATATATGTAGATATGAAATATATATTATAAACTGAGAGCAAATGTGTACAGGTTATGGTTACTTAGTTAAGAATCATTTTTCCTTAAGTTATTTGCAAAACAGTATAATGGCAAGACCAATTTGATAACTCCAAGAACCCAAAGAATAATATGTTCAGTTGAGGTCTACTACTTAGCTGGACTAGAAAAGGCAACATTATGTTACTTTCAGTTCTCTAGAAGCGTCTATATATATTTTCATAGTCATTCTTAAAATTTTTCATAGGAAACCTAAATAAAGCAGCATTCTCAGCATTCATTAAACCAAAATAAGTCTAATGTGTTGAAACATCCAAAGTTGCCTTCATGCATAAGATATCTCTCTTTATTGTTACCATGGCAATACTATATTAATCCACTTTTATTTTGTTGCATGTAAGTAATACAGAGAATATACTTCCTTCAGAACTAAAAACTACTTTAAATTTCAGATTAAAATATTAATTATATTGTACCAAATTTGATCAGAGGTTAAGTAAAAGTGGCTAAGAAGTGTCTGACAGCATCTGTCTAAATATTACTTGATAATCTCAGTTAAGCCACTACTCATGGTGGAGTTGTGGACTCATTTTTGGCTTTATAAATAAAACAATATACATACAAATGGAGATTTTATATCCTATAAAAGTCAAACTTAAAAATGAAAAATATACTCTAAATTTAACTTTATTTCCTTGGTAAAAAGGAGCTAACTCCAATCTACTCTCTCCCTAAGTGACTGAAGAAAAAGCACAGTTGTTCATAATATACAGAGTAAATTATGTGGAAGCAATAACTCACCAGTAGGCGTGTATACCAACAGACCATACATGAGAAATGGGTTATTTTAAAATATATAATTTGAAGCAAAATTCACAAAGTATACTAACCCGATCCTCAGGCATCTATAACATATATTATATTAATTCTGAGGATCCTTGAGAGTAAATGATAAGGCAGGGCAGAAACAAATCACATAATGTATCAGGAACCCCCATGCCTGTGTGAATAGATATACAACAATTAGGTTTTTGCTCAATATGATATGAAAGACTGCAAACTTTAACATGTATAATTTACCTCATGAAAAACATTTCTGTTATGTGGTCACTTATATATTTGGAAATACTGTGAAGGAAAGATTAAATTCCATATTAAAAAGAAATCTCAATTACTTCACCTAATTAAGCAATGGCTAAAACAGGCTCATGAAATTAATGCAAGTGGGTTCTTCTGGAGTTAGTCTGGATGGTGGAGCACCCCATGACACGTGTGTAGTTATAAATCCGTAATGCATGGATGGAGTCTGACAACATGCACACAGTCATAATCACACAATATGTAACATAATTAAATCACAGGATAAGTATTAATAAAAATATTAAAACATTAACATTCACACATTAATCAATTACAAGGAATAAATTAATCTAAACCAGTCACATATTTCTCTTTACTCTTAATTCACGGTTTATTTATGTATACACATAGTATAATACTTTACCAATGCTCTCAAATGCTACAAATAAAAATGAAGGCTTTGTATTACAGCTGCTGGACAAAAATGTCAATACTGTTGATGTGTGAAAACAGTTTCTTTGTTCTTTAGCATCAGTGCACAGGGTATGGCTCCAAGGGGTATGCAATTTAGGAGAGAAAAAAATACGGTGATTTGTGAAACATGTCCTCTGTTCATCATTGGCACAAATCAAAGTAGAAATTTGACTGTCCTTGGTACTTTTATTGATTTCTCCCCTAAAGACAGATAATGTTATACATATATGCCTTCAGGATTAAAACCAGACGAGATAGGATTCTGTAGAATACGAAGATTACTGGGAAGCTGCCGAGATGAACCAGGTCGCTTCAGGGACCCAGACTGGAATGGTGCCTCTAAATGAGAAATAAAGAAAGTCACTTGATGTACTCATTACTTAGCAGCACTTAGCAACGTGATAAATTAGAATATTTCCTGCCCTAAAAAAACCTGAGAAGAGAGAACTGCATATAGCAACCACTGCAAACCCTTGTGGACTATGAGGTGGGAGAAAAGTAAGACTATCTCACATGGGACTCTAGCTGACAGGCCAGGTTTGCAGGGTAGGAAGAGTGAATTTTTTTTTTTTTTTTTTTTTTAAGGTAAGCATTCTTCTCACCTTTTGGTTGTTCAGATTATATGTGCATAGATTGGAATGGTCTTTTAAATATCAGCACATGTTAGTAATACAGACTTTCAGAAAGAGAGAAAGGGAAGAAGGGACATTAGGGAAACTGAGAGATGCTGAAATTCAAATTAATACACTATGGCTCATATATACTCAGGTAAAAGTTTCATAAAGAAGCAGTTAAATTTTTAAAACTAAGTGATAGGAGATTTGGTAATTACATGATTACCTAAGTAAACAAAACCAAATTATTGTTTTTCTCTATAAAAATGGGAAGCATGTTAATATTTTTGTCGAATGCTTTTTCTGCGTCTATTGAGATGATCATATGGTTCTTATTTTTAAGTCTATTGATGTGGTGAATAACATTTATTGATTTCCGTATATTGAACCATCCTTGCATCCCAGGGATGAATCCTACTTGATCATGGTGCACAATTTTTTTGATGTGCCTTTGTATCCGATTCGCCAGAATTTTATTGAGGATTTTTGCATCTAGGTTCATCAGAGATATTGGTCTGTAGTTTTCTTTCTTTGAGGTGTCTTTGTCTGGTTTCGGAATCAGGGTGATGTTGGCCTCATAGAATGAATTTGGCAGAGCTCCTTCTTTTTCTATTTCCTGAAATAACTTGAAAAGTATTGGTATTAATTCTTCCTTAAAGGTTTTGTAAAACTCCGCTGTATACCCATCCGGTCCTGGGCTTTTCTTGGTTGGAAGTCTTTTGATTGCTTCTTCTATTTCATCTATTGTTATTGGTCTGTTTAAGTTGTGAGTATCCTCCTGACTCAGTCTGGGCAAATCATATGACTTAAGGAATTTATCGATGTCTTCACTATCTTCTATTTTATTGGAATATAGGTTTTCAAAATAATTTCTAATTGTCTTCTGTATTTCTGTAGTGTCTGTTGTGATATTGCCTTTTTCATCCCGTATGTTAGTGATTTGAGTTCTCTCTCTTCTTCTCTTCGTTAGCATGGCTAAGGGTCTGTCGATCTTATTTATTTTTTCAAAGAACCAACTTTTAGTTTTGTTAATTTTTTCAATGGTTTCTTTTGTTTCAATTTCGTTGATTTCCGCTCTGATTTTAATTATTTCTTGCCTTCTGCTACATTTGCTGTTGTTTTGCTCGTCCTTTTCTAGGGCTTTGAGATGAAGTGTGAGCTCATTTATTTGTTGGTTTTTCCTTTTTTTGAGGAATGACCTCCAAGCGATGAATTTCCCTCTTAAAACTGCTTTCATTGTGTCCCATAGATTCTGATATGTTGTGTCTGTATTTTCATTTATCTCTAAGAATTTTTTGATTTCTTCCTTTATGTCTTCTGTAACCCATTGATCATTCAGTAACATATTGTTCATTTTCCATGTGATGTAGGATTTTTCCTTCAGTCTTTTATCATTGATTTCCAGTTTCATTCCATTATGATCAGATAAAATGCATGGTATTATCTCCACCCCTGCATATTTACTGAGGGTTGCCCTATGGCATAATATATGGTCTATTTTTGAGGAGGATCCATGTGCTGCTGAGAAAAAAGTATATCCACTTGATGATGGTTGATATATTCTATATATGTCAGTTAAGTCTAGGTTGTTGATTGTGATATTGAGTTCTATAGTTTCTTTATTCAGCTTTTGTTTGGAGGATCTGTCCAATTGTGAGAGAGGTGTGTTGAAGTCACCCATAATTATTGTGCTGTGGTCTATTTGATTCTTGAACTTGAGGAGAATTTGTTTTATGAACGTCGCAGCACCATTATTTGGTGCATAAATATTGATAATTGTTATGTCTTGTTGGTGAATGGTTCCTTTTAACAGTATATAATGTCCTTCCTTATCCCTTTTGATTAATTTAGTCTTGAAGTCAATTTTATTCGATATGAGGATGGCCACCCCTGCTTGCTTATGAGGACCGTGTGCATGGTATATTTTTTCCCAACCTTTCACCTTCAGCCTGTGTATGTCTTTTCCAATCAGATGTGTCTCCTGGAGGCAGCATATTGTTGGATTTGTTTTTTTAATCCATGTTACCAGCCTATGTCGCTTTATTGGAGAGTTTAAGCCATTAATGTTTAGAGTTACTATTGATATATGGTTTGTACTTCCAGCCATGTTTGATTATTTATCTTCTTTTTTTTTTTTTTAATTTAGTTTGTTTCTCCATGGTTAGCTTTCCCCCCGCCCTCTGTCTTTATAGAGGCACTTCCCACTGATGGTTTTGGTTATTGTTTTTCATTTCGTCCTCGTGTAGTGTTTTGCTCAAGATGCTTTGCAATGCTGGTTTTCTGGCTGCAAATTCTTTTAGCTTTTGTTTATCATGAAAGATTTTTATTTCGTTATCGTACCTGAAGCTTAATTTTGCTGGATACAGAATTCTTGGTTGGCATCCATTGTCTTTCAGTGTTTGAAATACGTTGTTCCAGGATCTTCTCGCTTTCAGCGTCTGTGATGAAAAATCCGTTGTTAACCTTATTGGTTTACCCCTGAATGTAATCTGCCTCCTTTCTCTTGTAGCTTTTAGTATTTTCTCTTTGTTCTGTATATTGGATATCTTCATAACAATGTGTCTTGGCGTTGGTCTACTGTGATTTTGTGTGCTCGGTGTCCTGTATGCATCTACAATTTGTATATCCGTTTCCTTTTTTATTTCTGGAAAGTTTTCTGTAATTATTTCTTTCAGCAGGTTACTCATTCCCTTGGTTTGAATCTCTGTACCTTCTTCTATCCCGATGACTCGTAGGTTTGCTTTCTTTATGTTATCCCATATCTCTTGGATGTTTTTCTCGTGGTTTTTAACCAGCCTTTCTGAGTTGGCTAGGCTCTTTTCAAGATGATATATTTTGTCTTCATTATCTGATGTTCTGGCTTCTACTTGCTCCACTCTGTTAGTGATACTCTCAATTGAGTTTTTAATTTGGTTTATCGTTTCCTTCATTTCTAGAATTATTGTTTGGTTTTTTTTTTATAATCTCAATCTCCTGATAAAGATGCTTAACTTCTTCTTTTATCTGTCTATGTAATTCATTTTCAAAGTGTTCTTTCACTGTTTGGATTTGCTGTCTCGTATCTTCTTTAAGGTTCCATTCCATCTGTCTAAGGTATTCCTTGAGTTCTTTATATGACCATTTTTCTGCTGATTCTAGGTCCTCCTGAATATTTAGGCTGTCCTTCATTGATTGTACTCCTTTTCTTCCTTGATTTTTTATGCTGCTCATGTTACTTCTTGTTCTGTTTGACTGCTGAGTTACTGTTTACTCTTATAGATTTATTTGATGCTTGAGAGGAAAGATATTAGAAGGGAAGGGAAGAAGTCACTAAAGAGAATGAGAGTAGGCAGGTAGAATTCAAGGAAGGGGGAATAAGAAAATTGAAAAGAAATGAAAAGACAAAAGAAACAAGAATAACAAAGATTAGATAATAAAGAAAGAAAGAAAAGACGAAAAAAAAATTTTTAACAAAAATAATAGTGATAATAAAAAATGAAAATTAAAATTAAAAAAAAATAATAATAAAATAAAAAAAATTAAAAAAAATAGAAACATTGAAAAAAAATTAAAGAACAACAACAAATAAAAATTGAAAATGAAAGAAAAAGAAGAAAAAAAAGAAAAAAAAAAGAAAAAGAAAAGAAAAAAAAATGATAATAATAATAATAATAAATGCAGTCCTAGAGTTCTATTAACTTCTCTTCCAGTAGGTGGAGCTGTGGCCACTGGGCCAAGCTTCTCCTCTCAATAGGTGGGAACCATTCACTGTGTAGCAGCTCTTTCTCCTAGACTGGGCGGGTCTCCAATCCTGAGTGTCTAGGGCCTTGTCTTGTGTTTCCTCAAACCAGGCCATGCTCACCTGTGGCGCTCACCACAATACTGGCTACACGCCAGGTCTGCTGCTCCTGGGAGCCTTGTTTTCATGAACACCTGGGCTCACTCTCCCTGTTTGCCTCCCTCAGACCCTAAGTTTATAGAGCTTGGGGCTGAGGTCCCCCAGCGAATTTGCTTGCCCTCCTGTAGCCACGCCCCTGGTAGCTGGTGCAAGAGACCTCAGTTGTCAGCACTGGTGGGAGCGGTAGCCGGGAGTTCCGCGCCGCGAGTCCCGCGCCACTCCTGATTCCCTCGGTCTGGTTATTGCGTTCACAGGAGAGCTGGGAGTGGCCCTTAAGTTTTCCCTGCTGTGTGGAGAGAGATGACTAGGGGATTACACACCTGTTGCGCTGGTTTCAATGCAGTTATCTCCTCTGCCCGTGACGCCATTTCTCTGCCATGGTGATATCCCATGCAAATGGTGACCGTTTGTTCCCTTTGCCGGGTGACCAATGCAACGGGTGGGTCCTGACTGTCTCTCCCAATCCCCGTTTCAGTCCTGTGGCCACTGCCTATGAAGGCTCGGTTGGCTTTACCTCTGTAAGTTCCTAAGGGCCGGCCAATTATTTCAGCGGGATCGTTAGTGCTGAGTCACATGAAGCAGGCAAACCGGAGCTTAATTGCCTCCGATTCGGGCTCTGTGTGTGTGTTCTGAGGGGCCCAGCCTGTACACCCCAGATCCACGTCAGCTCAGCATTGCCTAGTGATCCTGAGCAAACAGCATTTAGACAGTTTACGGCTCCCTATGCCCGCGCAGTTGAAGATGTCAGAGACTTGATCTCTCTGCGCCTGCCACCATGTTACATCTCATCAATGATATTCATGTTGCCCTTACAGCTTCCTGGTATAAGCAAGTTCTTGGGATTATACAAACTGCTGCTTCTGTTTCCAGTCCAGATTTCTAGAAATGAAACCCTGCCGCCGTCGCCTCCGTCTCTGGGCCGCGCTGATGAGCGCCGCGCTTGTCTGCGACCGTAGCAGAGCCGCCCTGGCCTCCGCAGCTCTTCAGCCTGGTGCCCGGCCCCAGGGGCCCAAGCGGCTGCCGCCGCGGCTCTCCATCCCCCTCCTCCGGAGCACGGGTCCCCTGGCAGGGGGGTGCAGAACGACCCCAGAGCAGGCTCTGCCTGAAGGTGCAGCGGCGAACAGGCCACCGAGACGCTCGAGGCTGCAGTCCAGCCTTCGGAGGACAGGGCTCGGCACGCAGCCCAGCTCCAACCTCTAGGTGCAGCTGCCGGACAGTGTATACAGAGCCATCAAGACAGCAAGCAGAAAGCAAATGGCGGCTCCCGCGGAGTGGATTTTTGGCACAGAAACCACAGCCCCGCCAACAATCCCAATCCACAAACTCTCCCTGTATAAAAAATATTCAAAAAAAAAGAAAAAAAGAAAAAGAAAAAAAAAGGCGGGGCGCACTGAGCTTTCTTTGCCTCGGGTACTTACAATCCACTGCTGATTACACATTCAGCTTCTCCGCCCGGAGCGAAGCGAAAGAGGAAGCAGATGGGAGCAAAGCGCCTGCGGCTCTGAGCAGCCAAGCGTCTCTTTTTCGATTTCTTTGTTCTTCCTGCTCCTTGGCAAAGTGGTCCACTACAGATTAACGGTGAAAGGAGCTCTAACAGACTGTGCGAAATCTCTATTAAAGCCGCTGCTTTGAGCACCACGCTCAGCACTTCAGCAACCCCCGTACGCAGCGGCCATCTTCTTCGCATGTTAATATTTTTGAAAAACTGACCCACTTAAAAATTAGCTATGAATGGTAGGCTGACACTTTAACTAACTGCAAACAGTTTATTCAAAGATAACCAGTGAGAAATCAAAAAATTCTTAGAGATAAATGAAAATACAGACACAACATATCGGAATCTATGGGACAAAATGAAAGCAGTTTTAAGAGGGAAATTCATCGCTTGGGGGTCATTCCTCAAAAAAAAGGAAAAACCAACAAATAAATGAGCTCACACTTCATCTCAAAGCCCTAGAAAAGGACGAGCAAAACAACAGCAAATGTAGCAGAAGGCAAGAAATAATTAAAATCAGAGCGGAAATCAACGAAATTGAAACAAAAGAAACCACTGAAAAAATTAACAAAACTAAAAGTTGGTTCTTTGAAAAAATAAATAAGATCGACAGACCCTTAGCCATGCTAACGAAGAGAAGAAGAGAGAGAACTCAAATTACTAACATACGGGATGAAAAAGGCAATATCACAACAGACACTACAGAAATACAGAAGACAATTAGAAATTATTTTGAAAACCTATATTCCAATAAAATAGAAGATAGTGAAGACATCGATAAATTCCTTAAGTCATATGATTTGCCCAGACTGAGTCAGGAGGATACTCACAACTTAAACAGACCAATAACAATAGATGAAATAGAAGAAGCAATCAAAAGACTTCCAACCAAGAAAAGCCCAGGACCGGATGGGTATACAGCGGAGTTTTACAAAACCTTTAAGGAAGAATTAATACCAATACTTTTCAAGTTATTTCAGGAAATAGAAAAAGAAGGAGCTCTGCCAAATTCATTCTATGAGGCCAACATCACTCTGATTCCGAAACCAGACAAAGACACCTCAAAGAAAGAAAACTACAGACCAATATCTCTGATGAACCTAGATGCAAAAATCCTCAATAAAATTCTGGCGAATCGGATACAAAGGCACATCAAAAAAATTGTGCACCATGATCAAGTAGGATTCATCCCTGGGATGCAAGGATGGTTCAATATACGGAAATCAATAAATGTTATTCACCACATCAATAGACTTAAAAATAAGAACCATATGATCATCTCAATAGACACAGAAAAAGCATTCGACAAAGTACAGCATCCCTTTATGTTCAAAACATTAGAAAAACTAGGGATAACAGGAACTTACCTCGACATTGTAAAAGCTATCTATGCTAAGCCTCAGGCTAGCATCATTCTCAATGGAGAAAAATTGAAGGCATTCCCCCTAAAATCTGGAACAAGACAGGGATGCCCTCTATCACCACTTCTATTCAATATAGTTCTCGAAACACTGGCCAGAGCAATTAGACAGACGAAAGAAATTAAAGGCATAAAAATAGGAAAGGAAGAACTTAAATTATCACTATTTGCAGATGACATGATTCTATACCTAGAAGACCCAAAAGGGTCTACAAAAAAACTACTAGAACTAATAAATGAATTCAGCAAAGTGGCAGGTTATAAAATCAACATGCATAAATCAAAGGCATTTCTGTATATCAGCAACAAAACTTCTGAAATCGAAATGAGGAAAAACACTCCATTCACAATATCCTCAAAAAAAATAAAATACTTGGGAATCAACCTAACAAAAGAGGTGAAAGATTTATACAATGAAAACTACAAAACCCTAAAAAGAGAAGTAGAAGAAGATCTTAGAAGATGGAAAAATATACCCTGTTCATGGATAGGCAGAACTAACATCATCAAAATGGCGATATTACCAAAAGTTCTCTATAGGTTTAATGCAATGCCAATCAAAATCCCAACAGCATTTCTTGTAGAAATGGATAAAGCAATCATGAAATTCATATGGAAAAATAAAAGACCCAGAATAGCAAAAGCAATTCTAAGCAGGAAGTGCGAATCAGGCGGTATAGCGATACCAGACTTAAAACTATATTACAGAGCAATAGTAACAAAAACAGCATGGTACTGGTACCAAAACAGGAGGGTGGACCAATGGTACAGAATAGAGGACACAGAGACTAATCCACAAAGCTACAACTATCTTATATTTGATAAAGGAGCTAAAAGCATGCAATGGAGGGAGGATAGCATCTTCAACAAATGGTGCTGGGAAAACTGGAAATCCATATGCAACAAAATGAAACTGAATCCCTTTCTCTCGCCATGCACAAAAGTTAACTCAAAGTGGATCAAGGAGCTAGATATCAAATCAGAGACTCTGCGTCTGATAGAACAAAAAGTTGGCGCCAATCTACATATTGTAGGGTCGGGCTCCAAATTCCTTAATAGGACACCCATAGCACAAAAGTTGATAACGAGAATCAACAAATGGGACTTACTTAAACTGAAAAGTTTTCTCTCAGCAAGAGAAACAATAAAAGAGGTAAATAGGGAGCCTACATCATGGGAACAAATTTTTACTCCTCACACTTCAGATAGAGCCCTAATATCCAGAGTATACAAAGAACTCAAAAAATTAAACAATAAGAAAACAAATAACCCAATCAACAAATGGGCCAAAGACCTGAACAGACACTTCACAGAGGAGGACATACAATCAATCAACAAGTACATGAAAAAATGCTCACCATCTCTAGCAGTCAGAGAAATGCAAATCAAAACCACCCTAAGATACCATCTCACTCTAGTAAGATTGGCAGCCATTATGAAGTCAAACAATAACAAGTGCTGGAGAGGATGTGGGGAAAAGGGTACTCTTGTACATTGCTGGTGGGACTGCAAACTGGTGCGGCCAATCTGGAAAGCAGTATGGAGATTCCTGGGAAAGCTGGGAATGGAACCACCATTTGACCCAGCTATTGCCCTTCTTGGACTATTCCCTGAAGACCTTAAAAGAGCGTACTACAGGGATACTGCTACATCGATGTTCACAGCAGCACAATTCACAATTGCTAGACTGTGGAACCAACCCAGATGCCCTTCAATAGATGAATGGATAAAAAAAATGTGGCATTTATACACCATGGAGTATTACGCAGCACTAAAAAATGACAAAATCATAGAATTTGCAGGGAAATGGATGGCACTAGAGCAGATTATGCTTAGTGAAGCTAGCCAATCCCTAAAAAACAAATACCAAATGTCTTCTTTGATATAATGAGAGCAACTAAGAAAAGAGCAGGGAGGAAGAGCAGGAAGAAAAGATTAACATTAAACAGATACATGAGGTGGGATGGAAAGGGAGAGAAAGGGAAATTGCATGGTAATGGAGGGAGACCCTCATTGTTATACAAAATTACATATAAGAGGTTGTGAGGGGAATGGGAAAATAAACAAGGAGAGAAATGAATTACAGTGGATGGGGTAGAGAGAGAAGATGGGAGGGGGGATAGTAGAGGATAGGAAAGGTAGCAGAATACAACAGTTACTAATATGGAATTATGTAAAAATGTGGATGTGTAACCGATGTGATTCTGCAATCTGTATTTGGGGTAAAATTGGGAGTTCATAACCAACTTGAATCTAATGTATGAAATATGATATGTCAATAGCTTTATAATGTTTTGAACAACCAATAAAAAAAATAAATTAAAAAAAAAAAACAAAGATAGCCAGTGAGAAAAAAGGAAAAAAATATTTATCAATCCCTTACCTCTTTCTATATCTGCCTGTGAGGCCTCTATTTCAATGGGCTCGGCTGGCAAAACGGTAACTTTTGTCCCCGTCTGTTGGATAAACTGCTGGAGATTGACTTGCCGAAGCTCTTTGGTCAACTGCTCCAGTTCTTGTTCTTTGTCCTAAGTGGAAATTATTATTGTTATTTCTTCATCTGAGGATTCGTTATTGGCCAGCTCAAGATGTCCAAGGACAGTCCCTCTGCTGCAGGGGCTAAGGCAGCACATTTAACAAATCTGGATTACATGGATACAAAGGTCTCTTGCATTCTGTGGCATGGGCCAAAACAAAACCAACGAAAGACAACAGCTTCTTCAGTCTGCCCTCTAAATTGAAATGCTTCCCTTTGGAACATCACTATGCATTCATACAAAATAAGGCATGTCTATGAAGTTTCATTTAAAAAATTGTTTTCTGGGCTGGGGTTGTGGCTCAGCAGCAGAGCACTAGCCTAGCATGTGCAAGGCACTGGGTTTGATCTTCAGCACCACATCAAAATAAATAAATAAATAAATAAATAAATAAATAAAAGTATTGTGTCCAACTTAAAAAAAATTTTAAAAATTGGTTTCTCTCTATCCTAGCATTATAGCAGTCTTGTCAAGCTCATCACAAATTTCCCTACTAACCATTTCATAACTGACTACAAATGATGAATAAACTGGTCCAGGTGATTTATTAGAGTTCTTGGTTTTTATAAGGTGTTTTTCATCACATCTATTATCAAGATAGCATAAGCAAAGCAAGATTTTCACAAGAGTCTCAGTCTGAGGTTCTTAAATTCCTGACAAAGACAGCCTGAGAACTACAGATCCTTAGGGAAGGAAACCTGGTTTAGATAGCTGGAAAGCTCCAAAAGTAAGGAGAGGCAACCTGTTATGTATGTTACTTTCTGTCTCTTTCTGTTCTGTCTCTACTGGACTTTCAGGAAAGGCAGCCTGGCCTTAACTGGGCTGGACATATCTGAAGGCTCTGGTAGATACTAGAAGCAAGGAATGATTTTCTCCATTTACACTGAGTGAACGATGGTATGTGGTAATGGGTTAGTAATCTGCTATCAGGTACTTTTCAATGGGTACATGGCTTACAAGTAATGATTGTCATTACTGTAATAATAGCAAAGACAACATGACTTCCTTTGTACTCTTCTTAAACTGTCAAAATAAATCCAAATAGTAAAATGCTAACAAGTGAGAAATTCCTGATTTTCAAAATTTTGGTGGTAGTATTATGTCTTACTAGTTAGTGACAGACAGAGAAAGGAAACCATCTTGGTTCTTCTGGAAATCTCAGCTTTCCCAGAAGGACTGTATGTATCAATATTAAAGCAGCTCTTCTCAAACTTTAGTGTGCTATTTGGTACTATTTGGGGCTCTCAATACATAAAAGATTCTGAATTTCTAATAAGTGTGCGCTGAACTGCCTGTCATGAACTATACTTTGAGTAGTGAGCTTCCAACTAGTTCTATCTGACAGAACTTCCTGGAAAAGTTCGGCATTTGTGCTATCTAATCAACAGCTGCATGTACTATCAAACACCTGAAATGTGACTGTGACCAAACACAGAATTTTAAAATTATTTTATATTTTAAACTAATTTACTGAATATTGATTTTAATTAATTTAAATTTAAACAGCCATCAATTGTCTTTTTCATTTCATCTGTTAGCAACTGTTTCATAAATCTTTACAACTCCTGTATAACCACTACTGTGTTTTCAAGAATGGGTATCCAAGAAATGTAAGTTGAGTGATCAGAGTTTAAGTGGTAAAATATAAACGTTCTTATATAGGTACCAGGGAGAGGGAAGTTGGAGAGTATGCCTCTCCTTTGTGCCCCTCTAATTAGGAAGGTAAAGAGGGATATGAGGGAGAGGAGAGGCGGGAAGGTGACTGGGAAAAAGGAAAAAAGCTGGGGCTTGACAATGGAGGACTGACAGACAAGCAGTCAGACACAACCCTTGGTCAATCAATCTTTGTAATCTCATCTGGCTTGGGTTTCCCTCTGAAAGGAGAAGGTCAGGTGCATTATCTCATCATTAGTATCCATTCCAGGTCTAGGGCTGACCCTTCTGGGGTTGTGTTCTTCTATATACAATCACCTAATGTCACAATTGTCACAGTGAAAAGCCTCTTCTATGGAGCACCCATTAGTGTGGTGTTATATTTGAACTTTGTCACACGTCACAAAAATTCTATGAGACTTTTAAACAAAACTAGGTTTCTAATTCTTGAAATACAGAAAAATGAAGTCCTTTAAAATCAAGGGAAACACTCAAAAAAGAGTCCAGGAATATATTCTTTAAATAGATGAAACATCCTGTAATAAAAATGTTCTTACCTGTAGTCGTTTGGTGGCCTGTCCAAGAGATCTTTCCACAGCTTTAATACCATTTTCCAACCTCAAGCTCTGCTGGCCCTGGATGTCAATCTCCCCTTTGACCTTACCAATCTGTCCTTTAACCTCTTCCTCATTGATTTGTGCCTCCTGAACTTCCCGTTGCAATTTTTCTGCTTCAAGACCACTTTCCATAGTCTGGATTTGTGCCAAATAGTCCTTTAATTTGCTTTCACACTCTGTGATTTTCTGTCTTATTTCTTGAAGTTGATCCTTTAGCTGCTTTTCATTTTCCTGTTCAATCTGTAATTCATTTTCCCAAAATTCTTCCTCCTCAATTTCTACATCATTTCTTTTGATCTTTTGCTCCAGGCGGACAATTTCCTCTTCAAGGTTAGAATTATACTTTTGCTCCCAAAATCGTATTTCTATTTCATTAGATTCTAACTGCTTCTCAATGGATTGAAGCTTCTCTGTCTGCAAACGAATCAGTTTCTTCAACTCATCTGCTGTTGTTTTGCAGTTATTCAGCACCTTTTGCTTAAATTCAGTTTCTTTACTTTTTCCAAAAATGTCCATCAATCCTTTGGCACCTCCTGTAAATGTCAATGATTTTCTTTTAGGTTCTCTTCTTTTGATTGATTTGTCAATTTGAGGCCTCAGTTTGGCTAATGGGGGGAGACTCTGCCTGTATAAAGTTCTTTCAGGAATTCGAGCCACACTATCTGAAGTGGGTCTTTCACTGAGAGATGGCCCCGTTCGACGCAGAATTAACTGTACATCACTAGCATACTGCCCCCATTTGTTTAAGGATATGATAGGATTTTCATGAGGTGCTAAATGTCTTTCAGTATCTCTCCATTTTTCTATAAGTGTGTACCTTCCAGTTCGACCTAGGCAGGAAAGATAAGAATAAATTGTGGGATATGTAATAGATAAACAATGCAACAGAGAACAGCATTTGACACTCGTGTTTTGATTAGAATCAAAATGTCAAATCTTAAGAGTCCAGTCCATGTTGCCTTTAACACCTTCAGTGGAAGATCACAAGATACCAAACCTCCCAAGATACGTAACAACACAAATGACAGAATGTGAATCACACAGTACTCTTCAGATTTGCTTAGAAATTCAACTTGACACTTTTAATCTGATTGAGTCTCATACACTTATCAAATGCCTAATTGCTTGGAACTTCTTATTTGGGACAAGACTGAACAAAGTTTATATTCTAGTCAAAGCAAAGGAGGACACCAAGGGCTAGCCCCAGAAGCTAGATAGCACTGTTAAACTTGAATAAAGTTTAGATTTGATGTGCAAGTCTCTTGCACATTGGGATCTGAAGAGGCTAGAGATGCCACCTCTCCTGATGCACAGCCGAGAGGGACTTGCTACTCAGGTCACATAGCTAGAACTTTCCCGACTCTCCTCTCCTCTCATATCGCTCTTTACTTTCCTAATTAGAGGGGCACAAATATAAATATTAACTCTTGCCAATAAACAAGTGACCTAATGAAAACAACTCTTCAAAATAACTTTAGGTAAAACAAAGCAGCCTGAAGAGGCAAAGCCTTGCTCAATTTTGACAATAATAGTTTCAAAGATTCTTAAAAATTAAATAAATTTAAATTGTTTTTTATTATAAAAACAGAGCTGGGGTTATGGCTCAGTGGTAGAATGTTTGAATAGCACGTGTGAGGCACTAGGTTTGGTCTTCACCACATAAAGATAAATAAATAAAGGTATGTGTCCATCTATAACTAAAAATATTTTTTAAAAAATTACATTTAAATTAAAAATACATGTTGAACGTATTAATTATAAAATTAGATAAAATTTTAGAAGACAGTGTAAGGATATAAGCTTGAACTAACTTCTAAGTATGTTCACTTAAAGTATTTTAATTTTCTTAAAAGTGTACATTACTATTTAATATTATTACAAGGAAAAAAACCTGATCATGCCATCCAGTAATTATATTAGCACATATAGCTAGTGACTTACTTTTCCTGACTTCTTTTTTAAATGTGATGAGCTTCTGAGCCAATAGTATTTCCTCAATTATGTGTCAGATCTCTGGATGTGTAAATAGGAACACTCATGTATGCAATTCAGAAGCAGCACATAAAGAATGATTTAGTTCTAAGCATAGGACTATATTCTTTAAGTAAACCTGAGTCCTATGTGCAGCTCCAGGGCTGTGGATGCTTTAATCCTGGGTAAAACTACTCACTGGATAAAAACTTCACTTCTAAAATATCTCACTGATTTTGAATGGCAGATGTAGAAAGAATCTACCATACTGCTTGGCCCATAGCAGACATTCAGTATATTGCAGCTGTTTGACTTTAAAAAAAATTCTTCTTAAGCAATTTTCAACTATGTGTAAAGCTGGAGGGAATAGAAAGGTCATGGCTCAGGGTTGGAAGGCTTGTGTTCAAGTCTGCCATCTGCATATGTTATCTGAACAAATTATTAAATGTCCTTTAGCTTCAGTATCCTTATCTGACATAAAGGTTGTTTTGAAAGTCAAGTGAGAATGTAAAATGTAAAAATGTGTTGTAAAACTGAAAAGTGGTATATAAATATTAGTTACTACCATCAAAGTATTCAGGCAAACTAAGATAATGGAAAAGAAAATCTTAGCACATTGGATTGACTTCCTGGAATACAGAATATTTCTAATGATTTTCAAGTTAAAAACTGCTCTAATTGGGCAGGCTGGGACTATAACTTAGTGGTAGAGTGCTTCCCTGCAAATGTGAGGCACTGGGTTTGATCCTCAGCACTACATAAAAATAAATAAATAAAGATATTGTGTTCATCTACAACTAACCAAACCAAACCAAACCAACAACAACACTGTAATTGTCTCAAGAAAAACCACTTATCAGCAGTGTTAAGACTGTTCACGAGGTCATGGCACTTTGTTTTGTTTCTGGCTCTGCTGCCTATCAACTACTTTAGGCATTTTGTAACTCAATGTACCCATCAGCAATATGAGGGGTTAGATCAGACTGGTAGAGCCCCCTCCAGTTCTATCAGGTATTGGAGTATCTTTAAAAAGAAAACTGAATCATCACATTATACAAGTTTAATTAAACTTTCTAAAGACCCTAATGTACTCACATTTACATATAAAACGGATTTCCCAATGCTTGATGGTGCTGCTTATCCTCTGAGAATGTCTTGGTAGAAAGCTATGGAAAACTGATTTGACTGCCAGTGTTACCTTTCATTGTATTATGCACATTTAGTGTCACTAGGCAAAAAGAAAAAAAGTCCATATAAAAACCTTTTTGTAATTTTTTTAGATGTAGATGGACATAATACCTTTATTTATTTATCTTTATGTGGTACTGTGGCTCAAACCCAGTGCTTCACACTTGCTGGGTGAGCACTCTACCACTGAGCTACAACCCCAGCCCCTAAAAAAGCTTCTTTTTTAAAAAAAAGATAAATGAGAAGGAGCTTCTTCTCAGAAAAGGAAACAATGTGAAGAGAGAGCAAGAATGGGAGAAAATCTTTACCACATGCACCTCAGGAGAGCATTAATATTCAGGATACATAATGAACTCAAACACCTAACACCAAAAAAACAAATAATCCAATCAATAAATGGGCTACGGAACTGAATAAACACTTCACAGAAGAAGAAATACAATTGATCAACAAATATATGAAAAAATGTTCAACTTCACTAGCAATTAGAGAAATGCAAATCAAAATTACTCTAAGATTCCATCTCACTCCAGTCAGAGTGGCAATTATCAGAATAAAGCAACAATAAACGTTGGCCAGGATGCTGGTGGGACTGCAAATTGGTTCAACCATTAAGGAAAGTAGTATGGAGATTCCTCAGAAAACTTGGAAGGGAACCACCATTTGAGCCAGCTATCCCACTCCTGGGTTTATACCCAATGGAATTAAAATCAGCATACGACAGTGATGCAGCCACATCAACGTTTATAGCAGCTCAATTCACAATAGCTAAGCTATGGAACCAACCTAGATGCCCTTCTACAGATGAATAGATAAAGAAAATGTGGTATATATACACAATGGAATATTACTCAGCCTTAAAGAAGAATGAAATTATTGCATTTGCAGGTAAATGAATGGAGCATTATTATATAACTATTTTTAAAATTGCTTTTAGAATCATAAAACAAAATCATGACGTAAAAGTCACCCCTTATTATTTTTTTTGACAAATACACATTGAACACCAAATATTTGTCAGAATTAGTGCCTGACTCTAGAGTTACAGGTTTAATTAGATTGCTAACTCTCTTTATTAGCTTTAATTTTAACTGATGTTTGATTTTGTTCTTCAGTATCAAATCCTGCCCATTCCGAAGATTAAAATACTGTACATTATTTTAAAATATAATGACAAAGAGCTGACATTAATCTTATTAGTTTAATGCTAATAATACCCTCATGATTTTGGACATATTAGAAATAATGTCAGTAACACCTGTATTGCTTTTTATCTATGGTGAATAAACTACCCTACAGCATTTTTTTAAACATTTGGAGCTATATATACTTTGATAAGAATTTTATGAAATATATTGTACTTTTTTTGTATTTTTATGCAGAATCTAGTGAATATAACTATTCCTTTCCATAATGGCTTAATTAGAGTTTTATAATGAGTGCTGATCTTTGTAACAGAACTTATGCTGTATCACCTTATGATCTGTATGTAAAATGCTTTTGATATTTTTATATAATCACCTTGATTGATTCTGTGAGTTAAGCAGTATAACTATTCTGATCCTCATCAGTGAAGATGACATGCAGGCATAACATAAATTTATCAGTGAATTAATTTCAGTTTTTATTTATATATATGTTTACTATTACTATAATTTATATAAAAATAAATTATAAGTATATATAAAAATTATAGTGAAACTATTGAGAAACTATTGAGATAACTCTTTACCACAAAGCATTTATCTTGATAGTGATTTAATAAAAGATTACATCTGAGTACACATCAGCTAGTTATGCTTTTAACCCATAGCTAAATCAGTCCCAGTATACTGAGAATATTATGTAATCAGGGAATTACTGCCTACTTAGAATGATATGATAAGCTTAGTACCATTGAAAATAATGAAGTTACTGAGTACCATTATGCTTGTTACTTTATTTAAATGATATTAACCAAAGTAACAGGAATATTTATCACCAAAACACAAGAAGATTTTGGGGATTATTTATTAATGCAGTATAAATAAAATCCTTCGTGACTGATGCATGTTATGAATTACTTGTACTCACATTTGTTAAAAATAATCTTTAATATATGTGGAAATGTAGAAAATATTTAAGATTAAGTTTGATTAGATTATTGCTATAAATATTAAAGCTGTAAATTATCACCATGGTTATAAAAAGGAAGTATATTTCACTAAGATTTTTATTTCTTCTTTTAGTATAACTCAATCAGTAACTATGTTTTCTAACAGTTGTCCATGGAGATTATAGGGAGCACAACTAATATAATAATAGTTAAGAGGAGAGGTCTTCAATCAGACCACTGGCTACAAAAGAATAGTAATTAATATCTTGGTGCCTTGGTTTGACCATTTGTAAAATACAGACAATTATAGTGCCTTCCTCATCAGACTGTTATGGGGGGTGAGGATCAAATGACATGGAAGATTAATTCATGATACAAAAGGTGAAAAGTGAGATTTTAAAACCTAGAAAAGTATAATCTTTTTTATTAAGGCTCATCTACAGAGACATTAAAAACACTGCTTTTAGTTTTGTTAAATAAAATTTATAGGAGGTCATTGGTTTAGACTGAGCTCTTGGCACAAGGTACAACAGACCAAACCAAAATGGGGTAACATATGCTAAAGTTCCATGTCAC